GCAAACATCAGTGCTTTGAATTTGATGCGAGCAGCAACTGGCAGCCAGTGCAAACGGATGAGCAGCGGATTGACATGTGCTCTTTTAGGTTCATTAAAGACCACTCGTGCTGCTGCGTTCTGGAGCAGCTGAAGAGGCTTGATAGAGTTAGCTGGAAGCCCGGCTAGTAGAGAGTTGCAGTAATCCAGTTTGGAGAGAACAAGAGCTTGAAGAAGGAGTTGAGCTGCATGTTCAGATAAGAAGGGTCAGATCTTTCTGATGTTATAGAGTGCAAATCTTGATTATATTCTTGATTATTATGCTGGAATGAGACTATAGTTCCTAGACATATCAGCCTAGAAAACAGCAGCTTTTCATTTTCTTTCATACATGATGTATCTACAAAAAAAAAGCTTTAAATAGTAAAATAAATGAAACTAGGAGTTGTAAAATAAACCTTTTTTTAAATACAAAGTGAAGTGTTTCTTTTAAAGTATTGCTTCAATACGTTTCAGCATCGTATCTTTCAGATTTCCACATTTGTGTTCAGAAAAGATTGTCAGTCAAAGTCATTGGGATTAGAAATTAAATTAGGGTGAATAAATAATGCAGAGTTAAAGCTGGCATACTAAAGCGATTGGTTTCTTCAACTCTTTACCATTTGTGTATTGAACAAACATATCAGTTTTGTTTTTGGCTCATTTTACAACTCCTCTAGAGTTAAACCATTGAGTTTTACCATTTTTGGATCCATTCAGCTCTGCCTGGAACACTTGTAGCTTTGCCTAGCAATGATGTTAATGCAGATTCTAGCTGGTGGTGCTGGGACTATTTTCAGGTCCTGCATGATATCATTGCGCCTGCTTCAGCCATGGTTCGGCAGCAAAGTTTCTTGATTATTATGCTGGATTGCGACTATATTTCCGAGACATTTCGAATTAGAAAACAGCAACTTTACATTTTCTTTCGTACATGATGTTTCTACAAAAGAGTCAAGCTTTAAATAGTAAAATTAATGAAACTTTAGTAATTTTTGAGCGAGATGCTAATGGTCTAATCCGATTCAATGATCTATGCTAAGCTAAAATGCTCCTGAATGAATTCAAGGGTAAAATTAAATTAGCCTATTTTTAATAGTAACTTGTCAATGTTTCTTCCAAATTTCTACATTTGTGTTCAGAAGAGAAAGTCAAGACAAAGTTGTTGGGCTTTAAAACAAAATAAGGTGAATAAATAATGGCAAAGCTGGCATAAGGGTAAACATATCGGTTCTGTGTTCGGCTCCAGTTTGTACTAACTCTGACTGCATCACTCATGCTCTGATCTTATATTAACTGCCCATTCAATTTACAAAATTCATTGTATAGTTCTCTTACTCGTGTATGAATTCTATTGCATGTTTATACTCCCACAAGACGTTTAAGATCCAGTGATCAAAATTCGTCTTTTAGTGCCTCGGTCCAGAATAATATTGCAACACTTTGGTCATTTAAACGAGATGCTAATGGTCTAATCCCATTCAATAATTCATGCTAAGCTAAGCTAAAGGTTCCTGCCAAACCCAAAGACTGTCTGAATGGATTCAAAAATGGTGAAACTCAACAGATTAACTCTTGGAGGCGTTGTAAAATGGGCCTGTTTTTAAAAAAAGTGGAGTGTTTCTTTTAAAATGCAATGCTTCAGTGCCTTTCAATGGCATTGTGCTTCTGAATTTTTACATTCAGAGGAGAAAGAAGTTTAAGATCCAGCTTAACAATCTAAATCTTTAATGTCCTCAGTCCAGACTAAAATGCAAAGCGGACAGGTTTTTTTTTTTCATTTAAATTTTCTTCAGCGCATGAGGTTTATGCAGTGGCCGAAAATAAATTTCGATATTCAGGCGAACATTTTGAGTTTACTTGCTTCATTCATGTGTCAGATTCACTTCACAATAGACACAAATTCACATTATGAGCAGGGTTTCTGTCTGCCCGGTGACTTTAGCTTTGTTGCTAAATGACTAGCATGAATTTTGTATTTGATAGCTTTTATTAGACTTGATGGCGACTCTCCTCCAGAAATGACAGCGACTCTTTGTTTACTAGTTTGTGGGTGTTTGAGTAGTTGCTGTCATGTGAAGTGTGTTTGACAGGACGGACTGTACCTCTTTTGTTTTCAAGTGTAGTTGGTTCATTTAAAAGTACAGATGTCTCAAGACATTGGAATTGACATTACCGAGGAGACATGGAAAGCGGTCTTGAACAGGGTTAACTCCTTCTCAATCTGTGCACGTCACAGGCTAATACAATGCAAGGTAGTGCATTGGTCCAAGAGCAGGCTAGCTCGCATCAATCTGTCGATAGACCCTGAGTGCGACAGGTGTCATTCTGGTACAGCTACTTTATTCCACATGTTTTGGTCCTGTCCTTCCCTGCTTTCTTTCTGGAGACAAATATTTCTTTCGCTATCAGCTATTACCACTGTTGATATCCCACCATGTAGCCCGACCACACTTTAAAGGGCCATGAAGCCCCCTCGTTTCAGCAGGGTGTTTTCACACCTCTACTTTGGAAAAAGTCAGAAAAGTGGGCGTGTCCAGCTCTGTTTAGGGGGGAGTGTCGGAGGAACTAAAGTGGGAGGGTGTGGGAGTGTCTATTTGGGCACGCGCGAGTTTCAGTCAAAATACTCACACACAGTAGAAAGTGATGATGTTTAACCTACATGGACATCTGTAGTCGAATTATTTGCCAAATTATTAAATGGTGGACTTTAACTGCAGTTTGGCTCTTTCATTCAGGGAATTCATTCATGCCCCTCGTGACAAACGAGATATTTGATTCGAGGATCTGCTCTAAGCGTGTATTTTTCATGCAATGTTTGATACCGCACGGCGAATGAGAGAAAAAAAAACTCAGCATTTCCCGGAAACTTAGATGCACATAGCAGCTAGCGTCAGAAAGCCGCGTGTGTTATTCCAGTCACTAAATGCGGTGAAAACCCTACACGAGGTTAAAGTTTGGTTGTGGTGCTAACATGTTTACACTCGGTGCAATAGTTAACTTAGTTCGATACGAACAAACTGAATAAACAAAGAGCACTGGTCGCTCACTAACCAAATCTGTAGAGACAGGACAATCACCAGCAACTAGAGCCGCGTCTTTATGAAGAGAATAATACAAGCGAATCCGGATCTCAGCGTTTGCAGATGAAAACAGCTCTCAGGTAAACAATAATCCTCCTTAGACACGTAAGTTATTGCTGTCGAGCGTCGCGTACACTGTAATCCACACATGACTCCAGATGAGCTCTCACAGAGAGAAAATGAAAACAAAACTTAACAGCAGCAAACTATAAAAGCAACACTTCACGCTTGTTTTGCCAACACAGCGTGGCGTCTCTGTCGTGTAAACACTGTGACAGTAATGAATATTAATGAAGTTGCACAATAGAGCGCGCTGATTGGTTTGAACCAAGCTTTACTCATGCATTAATGCATCACACTGTAAGACGTAATAAGACACACTCTGGCACAGACGTCCAGTCTGCACGCTGGAATACCCGCTATTATGTCATGACCGTGACGCAGCTTCAGAAATTAGTTTCAAACCGGAAGTACGAATTTGCTTGAAATAACGCAAAAACAACCAATTTACACTTTTTAGTGAAATATAGGTGTCCTAATAGTGTTTTTAGCAGTGTGGGACACATATACGACTGTCAACAGTTTAAAAAACATGTGTTTTGGTGTTTCGTGACCCTTTAACCTCACATTTTGTAGACTTTGTAGCCTTCTTAACCCTTCTGGCGATTAATTCTTCTGAACTGGAAGAGCCCTCACCCTCCTTCTCACACTTGTTGGATAAGAAATGTTCGTTATTTTATGAAATTAGAAAAAATTAGGTACTCTCTTCACCGAACTAGCACTATTTTTATTAAATTGTGGAAACACCTTCGCAAACATGTCCAAACTCTTCAGCTTGACCCTGCTCCTTCTGATTGAGTCCCCACCCCCTAATGCCCGGCTTTTACGGGAAACTATTTCTGGTCAACACACTTGGGTTTTTTTCTGTATATAAGATTGCACTAGTGTTGTTGTTTTTTTATTTATTAATCTATTTATTTTTATTATTATTATTTTATTTATTTATTTATTTTTATTATTATTATTTGCTCAAAATACTTTTTTACAATTTTTTTAATTACTTTTTTTAATTTGCTTATTGTTACAAGTTTATGTCTTTGTAAATTTTTGTAATGTTTCACAATGTATAAATAAAACAGTTTTAAAAAGTACAGATGTCAAGCTTTATGAGGATGTACTTCTCATATCTGTGAAGCGAGTATTTGCTGAGATTCCAGTGTGTTGACCACCAAACTGTCGTAAAAGCACACGTCTGGTCTGAGCCCCTCTCTTGGAGAAACGTCAGTCTATACCGATCGATGATTGGCTCCTGTACTAATAGGCGGGGCTTCATTCGCCATATTGACCGTTACACTTTTCCCCTTTCAAAACTATAAGAGTGACACGTCTTGTGGATTCGATAGTCTTTGAATACACACAAGAAGTGCTGATCATACAAAAGAAACTGCTAGAGTAAAGACGGGTGAGTGTTTTTTTTTTTTTTTTTTTTGAGAGGGAGAAGAGCGTTTGTACAGGTGGTTTGTCAAGGCCACTCACCTATGTGAAGCACACTTCATAAATGGAGTGTTTTTTTAATAGATATGAAGTGATTGTAAGAAAGCGTCGGTTAAAATGAGAGAGAGTGTGTTTTCTACAGGTGGTTTGTCAAGCGCAATCACAATTATGTTTTGAGGTCGTTGGTCGTGTTGTCGTGGAGGGGGGGGGGGGAGGGGGGTAGGGGGTCCTGGGTTTGTTAACAGTGGTTCTTATGGGATTTTGGTGGTTTTAATGATACCAGTGAATCTGCAGTCTGTGAGGGAATGGGAAGATTATTCCACCAGCACAGAACACTGAAAGGAAAGGTTCTGGAACGTGACTTATAGCCTTACTGTTAAGATACCACAAGGTGGCGCTCACTTACCGACTCCTGGAGGGGATGTAGACCTTCAGGAGCAGGTGGAGGTAAGAGTGCCAGTGGATGTCCTGCAAACAACAAAGTTGACCAGAAAAAGGGAGAGGCGCAATATGCATTCTTTTTAAGCACTAAAATTACGAATATTACACAAAACATAATATTTATTTAATTTAGCAAAGCAGACACACCTGACAATTAGCCTTAATTATTTTTTTTTAATATGTAAATCTGAACGTATCATTCAGAAGTCAAAAATAACAATAGTAGGAGCCTTTAAATGACTATTTTCAAGACAAAAGGACCCTAAATACACATACAAATTTATTTCAAACCAGATAACTTGATATAATTAGTGTTATTTTTCAAACATTCTTTCATTATTACTTTAAAAACACAAAGAAGCTTTGTCTATCTTGGAGATGTACAAAATGTACCTGCAGTATTAGAATCACCCATACACTGCATTTATGTGCAACATTCAGTTCAACTCAATCTTATTTATATAGTGCTTTTCACAGTAATTATGCTGTCAAATCGGCTTTACACATGGTAAATTAATTAAATTAATAATAACAAATTAATCATTTAAGTGAATATAAACCAGATCATGTGCGTAAGTCTCAAACTGACCTGTCACATGAAGACACTGGCAGAATTTGCTGCTGCGAGTTCATTTGTTCGCAAATTCGGCGAGCTGCGTCACAGACCCACACCCTGTGAAAACCACCGTCACCATCGTCTTCACAGGAAATCCTCTTCAGCATGAATAATGGGCCAGCCTGTTATAGATAGGACACTACGCTGTTAACATTTCCCATAGGTTTTCCTCTTATCAGCCACCGTTAAAGTCTTGCTTTTCGAGCCACACTGTATAAACGTCACATCTAACAATTCAGTTTAAAGGGTTGGTTCACCCAAAAATTTAATTTGCCATTATTTAATCTCCTTTTATTTGTTCAAAACCTGAGTTCCTTGCTTCTGTTGAACACAAAAGAAGATATTTTGACAAATGCTGAAAACCTGTAACCATTGCTTTTGTTAGTATTTCTTTTTCCTACTATGGAAGTCAATAGTTACAGGTTTTCAGCTTTCTTCAAAATATATTTTGAAGTGTTCAACCAAAGAAAGAAACTCATGCAAGTTTAAACCAGGGGTCACCAATCTCGTTCCTGGAGGGCCGGAGTCCCTGCAGGGTTTAGCTCCAAATTGCCTCAACACACCTGCCTGGGTGTTTCAAGTATACCTAGTAAGACCTTGATTAGCTTGTTCAGGTTTGTTTGTTTAGGGTTGGAGCTAAAATCTGCAGGACATCCAGGAACAAGTTTGGTGACCACTAAACAGCGAGTATTTTTTTTTTTTTTTTAGCAAACTATCCCTTTAATACGAAAATATTGTAATACAAACATCACAAGAGAGATTTAACAATTCAACTTGAAGGGTTATTTCACCCATAGATTTTATTCTGTCATTATTTATATCATTATCTACCTTTATTCCTTGCATCTGTTGAACACAAAAGAAGATATTTTGCAAATGCTGAAAACCTGTAACCATTGACTGCTATAATGTGTTTTTCATACTATGTAAGTCAATGGTTACAGGTTTTGATATTGTGATAAAAATATTGTAATATTATAATGCATATTTAAAAAAATAAAGCAAAAAAATACATCTAGTACAGTACCTGCCAGAAGTCTTGTCTCTTATCCAAGTTTTAGAAACAACAAGTAATAACTTGACTTTCCGTAAATCAGTTGGTGTCAGAAGTGTCTTATATGAAAGGCCTCTAGATTATGCTTATTTTACTAAAGTAAAATATGATCATGCCTTTTTTTAATGATTTAATTCGTACAGTAAGGTCTGACTTTGCTTAGACAAAAGTCTTGTCACTTATAATGCCCAGTATAGAATATAAAGTCATGCTGCAGTGGGAAACCATTTAATATTGATTCTGACTCCATCATGAGCTTGGAGGACTGCATCCATACAACTCTGCAATGACTCAAATCACTGACTAATAAAGTCATCTGGAATGACAAAGAAAGCGTTCCTGCAGGACTCCCAGAGTTCATCAAGAGTCTTTGGATTCCTCTTCAATGCCTCCTCCATCTTACCCCAGACATGCTCAATAATATTTATATCTGGTGACTGGGCTGGCCAATCCTGGAACACCTTGACTTTCTTTGCTTTAAGGAGCTTTGATGTGGAGGCTGAAGTATAAGGAGCACTATCCTGCTGAAGAATTTGCCCTCTCCTATGGTTTGTAATGTAATGGGCAGCACAAATGCCTTGATACCTCAGGCTGTTGATACTGCCATCCACTCTGCAGATCTCTTGCATGCCTCCATACTGAATGTAACCCCAAACCATGATTTTTCTTTCACCAAACTTGACATTTCTATGGGAATCTTGGGTCCATGCTGGTTCCAGTAGGTCTTCTGCAGTATTGGTGATGATTGGGATGCAGCTCAACAGATGATTCATCTGAAAATCGACCTTCTGCCACTTTTCCAAATGATCAACAGAAGTCAAGTTATTATTTGCTGCTCTTACAACTGGACAAGACTTTAGTCAGGTAGTGTAGATGCCAAATTTATAATACTGACAGCATGACTTTTTTTTTCCTTGCCTAAAATACTGATACTACGCGTTACTGCTGGTTGTGCAGATGTGCAGAGAGCAGGTGTGGCCTCTGGCGGGTTGTCATGGCGTCTTATCAAATTCCAATCTGCACTCAGTTTTGTGTGTGCGCTCATTCAAATGAGCAACTGCCTCTTCAACCTCAATTTTGCTATGTATTTTTAATGACAGACAAATAACATTTTATAATATATTTAATGTAATATATCTGCTAATACATACAGGTGAAATCTAAATGATTAAGCCTCCTTAAAACATATTCTTTTTAAAATATTTCCCAAATGATGTTTAACAGAGCACGGAAATTTCCTATAATATTTTTCTTCTGGAGAAAGTCTTATTTGTTTTATTTTGGCTAGAATAAAAGCAGTTTTTAAAAAAAAAATCATTTTAATTTCAATATCATTCACTCTTTTAAGCAATATCTTTATCGATAGCTAATCTACAGAACAAACCATCGTTATATAATGATTTGCTTATATACCATAACCTGCCGAATTAACCTAGGTAAGCCTTTTAAGTGCACTTTCACTTTAAGGCTTTAAAGGGTTCATTCCGCTGTGGCGACCCCAGATAATAAAGGGACTAAGTTGAAAAGAAAGTGAATAAATGAATAAATACCTATGTTTATGGGTCTCTGTGGGGGCACCCTTTTGGCCAGCAGCATCCCTGCTTACACTAGATATAAATGTTCATTTATTCATTCATTCATTCATTTTCTTGTCTGCTTAGTTCCTTTATTAATCCGGGGTCACCACAGCGGAATGAACCGCCAACTTATCCAGCAAGTTTTTTTTTTGAACTTCTGGTTATAAATGTTAAGTAACGAAACTCTTTTAGGCACATTTAAGGGATGTAACACCTTTGAACTTCCGGTCACCTTGTTGTTAGCAACTGAGTAAGCGACATGTTAATGAACTTATGCCGTCTTCGCTTAAATAACAAAACTTTCCACAGGAAATCACACTTCGCTTGTTTCAGTAACGGAGAACTTTCGATATACTGCATTTAGCAGCCTCTAGATGTTAGCCTCCTCATTGTTTTACCGAAAAACAAAACAAAACGTTGAATATTTAAATACCAAATTAATGTACGTCATTAACATGTGATTATTACCAGATGGCGCAGCAAAGTCGCACCACGCCAAAACAGCGCAGCACCGCACAACCTCCCATTGTGTCCTTTTGTCTGCATACACTAATTAAAATCACCATAAAGCCTTGAATCACTTTTTTACTCTACATCTGATTAACCCGCATACTTGCAGCAGCAGCCTTTATATGGAGCAGCACGCCTGCTTTACATTTCGCTCCGGACAGCCAATCATCTTCCATCTGGCGTCTGACCTCACGAGCAGGTGTAACCAATCAGAGCGGACGGCTGAGTGCCACCGCCAAGCTTGTGTGCGGAGTTCAGTCGCACTCAGGAAGTGAGTACAGGACTGAGCAGTTTTACTGCGCTTTCACTCTCATACATTCTCAAGTTGCTTGTTTTCCACTTTGACAGAACTTCTCAACACATTTCGCTCACAAATACAAGGTAAGGTCTAATTTTAGCGCATTTATGAACAATAGACAGCAGACGCTGAATTAGGAGAGTGTCTTTATGTCTATTATGCATAAGTCGTTCATATTTCTGATTCTGATACTGTACAGTTGTTAAGTGTTTAGAAATTGAGGCGATTAAAAGGTTTGTAATTTATTTTAAGTGTTTTAGGTTTGAGTAATTAACATTTAACAAACTCAACAGTGTTGTTTATTTGTGTTATTCTAGCATTGGGCTAGCTGGAGTTAACGTTATTTATATAGAACAAGTGCAGCTTAAGCATTGAGGTATAGTCGGTTTTATATTCGCATATTCAGATTTTCCCCTTAATAAAATATATTTTTAAAAAGTATCTTTGCAAGGAAGTCATATTAGCAGCAAATTGAAAATATAATATCAGCAGTCAATCAAAGTGCATCATTGTTTACAGTCAATAAGTAGTGCTAATGTTGTTTTTAAGTAATACTTAAGTACGATTTCAGGCCAAATACTCAAAGTAGCCTGATAAACACATTGGGGTAAAATTGGTTTTGTATTCGCACATTCAGACTTTCTCCTTAATAATATCATTTCGGAAAAGTATTATTTGCTAATTCCAAATAGTGAAATCATATTAGCAGCCAATGACTATCAAAGTATAACGTCAAATTAAACATTAACAGTACATGAAATAGTGCTAATGTTGATTTGAACCCAATATTCAGACCCAATATTGAAAGTACCATGGTAAAAATAAAGGGAGAATGTCAGAAGTTGTCTTCGAACGAATATGCGAATATTAAACCCACTTTACCTTAATAATAACATACTGACCGTTAAAATGAACGAATGTGCGAAAGTAACACCAATATTTTGAGCTAATAACTGCGTGATGTGTGGTTTTGATGACGATATATATGTAGTTTCCTCATGAATGAAACTTGGAGTGGTTAAAAGCGTTATATTCACAGATAATAGTATAATGTGCACATTTGCAGTCGCCAGCCGGCTGAATGTAAAGCGCGTGCATTGTTGATCTGTCAGGCAGCGAGAGCGCGCCGGGCGCTGCTTCGTTGGTTTTCTTCTGCAGCTTTTGCACATTTCCGCTGCTCTGGAGGACGGTCCTGACGAGATATTCGTCGACTTTTGGTGAGATGTCCCTTAGTTTTCCTTAACATCGCGTAAAACGATGCTTTTAGGAATGGTCAGGTTGTTTTTGTGTCGGATGACAAGTTAAAACTTTGGCCTTGAGGCGATAATGTCACATTAAACTTAAAGGGGTAGTTCACCCAGAAATGAAATGTTATTTACTGTTTACCTTTCAAATCTTTATACGTTTCTATCTTCTGTTGAACTCTAAAGAAGATATTTTAAATACTGAAAACCAGTATCCATTGACTTCCATTGTGTTTGTTGTTCATGCTTTGCAAGTCAATAGATTTCAGCTTTCGTCAATATATCTTGTTTAGTCTTGAACAGAAGAAACTTATCATCATCATCCTTCACTTTAAATAATGTGAGGTAAATTTAGTTTTATTTTCGCACATTTGTTCGTTTTAACAGCTCCTACGTTGTTTGCTCTGCTACTTTGAATATTGGGTCTGAAATCGCATGTAAGTAGGACTTTAAAACAACATTAGCACTGTTTATTTGACTGTGAACACTGTTGTACTTTGACAGTCAATAGCTGCTAATATGATTTCACTATTTCTAATTTGCGGGAATACTTTTCTGAAATTATAATATGAAAGAGAAAGTCTGAATGTGCAATTTATATAACCAACTTAACCCCAATAATAGTGAGTATGATCGCTTTAAGAGCAGATTTTACATCTGCTCATGCCAATAATGTTCCTGTCAGATTTGTTTTTATCTTGTTTTATATGAAATATCCCTAAACAATGATTCTCAGAGTTTCAAACCAGCTCAAAAACACAGAAGCATACTTTTGAGGAAATGTTACGATACATTGAAGGAAAGGCTGTGCGATTAATCGAAAGCGAATCACAATGTGAAATGTCGTGATTAGCTAATCGCAACAGGCTGTGATATGAAATATGTATTATTTTAATTTCCTCCGCCCAGAGCAAATGTGTGACTGCCGTCTGCGTGTAATAGCCTTACAAGACAATTAAGTGAGCATTTTCGTTCTGCCCAATCAGATTTGCGCAACCAAACTATGCGGAACATCCACAATAAAAAAAATAAAAAAAACAGGAAAGCTTGGACAATTGGGATGATACGGCCTTAGAAGCATTAATAGACAAATTAATATAAAAGAAAAACAGGACGTCGGTAATACGAGTATATTTTGGTTTCAAAGTCACAGACACCAAACAAAACCAGATAAGAGCTGTCGCAGAATTGTTGCCACAGCCTGCAGATTATTTAGAATTTTGACTACAAAATTAAATCGCTAATCAAATCGCAATATCTGTCGGAAAAATCGCAATTAGATATTTTCTCTAAATCGCGCAGTCCTAATTGAAGGTGTCCGTTGAGGGCACTGTAAGCCATTTACGGTAGTCAGTGGTGGAAAGCGTACTGAAAAATCATACTCAAGTAAAAGTAGCATTACTTGCCCAAAAATGTAGTGCAACTAGAGTAAAAGTATCTGCTGTAAACATTACTCAAAGTATGGGTAAAAAGTAGTCCTTTCAAAAGTAATCGTGAGTAGTGAGTATTACACTGTGCAGAGCTGATGCATTAACATGCAGTTTGTGCAGAGATATGTAAACGTAATATTCTGTAGTGCATTTAGTGAGCTTCCTATATTTGTTTGTTCCTTTCAACCTTTCTTCCATTGTTTGTTTGTTCTGTCCTTCCTTCATTCATTCGTTTGTTCATTTCTTCCTTCATTTATTTGTTCCTTCCTTCGTTCCTACTGTAATTTGTTCTCTCATTCATATTTTTGTTCCTTCCTTTATTAGGTCCTTTGTTCATTCGTTCGTTCGTTCCTTTCCTAGTTTGTTCAGTTCTTCCTTGAATCCTTACTTCATTCATTTGGTTCTTTCTTCGTTTGTTCGATCGTTTGTTTGTGTATTAGTTTATATTTTTGTTCCTTTCTTCATTAGGTCCTATGTTCTGTCCTTCCTTCATTCATTTGGTTTTTCCTTAGATCCTCCCTTCATTTGTTCATTTATTCATTCATTCTTTCGTTTATAAATTTGGTCCTTCCTTCATTAGGTCCTTCATTTGTTCGTTCTTTCCTTCCTTCCTTCCTTTCCTTCCTTAGTTTGTTCAGTCCTTCCTTGAAACCTTCCTTCATTCATTTGGTCCTTCCTTCCTTCATAATTTCAGTCCTACCTTCAATTGGCCTTTCCTTCCATTTTTTCATTCATTCCATCGAGTGGTTGTTTAAGGCTGTTTGGTGATTTTAGTCATCATACAGTCGACATCTATTTTCTCGTCAGTGACATCCAGTCTATTAAAAGTCTGCGACAATGTGTGTAAAGATTTTGGACACCATCTTGGACATTTTTAATGCTTCCAAAAGGTTTGCTGCATTTATTAAGCGCTGATGTGTTGATGTTGTTCAGTATCTTGCGATTTACTTTCTGTGTGATTTGATTGGACAGAAATCACAAGACTGATTTTTTTACTTTAGCCAATCCCCATAGACGAGAAAGAAATAAAGTAGTGACTGCAGGTTAAAGGAAAGTAGTGGAGTAAAAGTACCGATACAGCACTAAAAATGTACTCAAGGGAGAGTAAAAGTACACATTTTTAAAACTACTTAGTCAATTACAATTTCTGAGAAAACCTACTCGATTACAGTAATTTGAGTATTTGTAATTAGTTACTTTACACCACTGATGGTAGTGTAAACCATGGTACTGAGGGTTTACTTTAACTATAGTTACCATGGTATTTGCTCTATATTCGTAATTGTGCAGTGTCATGATCAACACCCACTATTTTCCCTTTTAAAATAACCATTATTGATATCGAAAGTGTCAGAACACACGATTTGTGTCATGTCAGCAAAAACATGGTACAATCCAATGATGATGATGATAATATCTTAACCCGTATGGTGGAACTTTAGTGCTTTTCATTCTTTTCCCCCTAGAGTTTCTCTTGACTTTTGGTTTCTTCTCCATTGAAAAGTATGTTTACACGATGATGATGTGCTAACAAAAGATGACAAATTGATCCTCCTTTACACAGATGTCTGAAAAGGACAGAAAAGGCTGTATTGTGCATGTCTGGCCTGTAGTCATAGATATATACACTAGATATCGCATAGGGACCCTGAGCATGCGTCAATAGTGCCGCCACATTGGTACAGTGCTCCCAGGACAAATGTCATTCAACCGCACTAGTCAAGACAGTGTTATTATGTGAAGATGCGGGATTTAGGCGCTGTCTACGGGTGTAGTAAAGAGCAAACGAAGAAAACAAAGCACAAAGGCAGAACATTTCATAGGTAATATTATGTTTTTTTCTGTTTTTGTATGTTCTGAACTTTTGTGCTAATCAGGTAACGTTATTGATGATAATACAGTCACTTACTGCATTCACCTTACGGCAAAGCAGCTCCAACTCGCACTAAACACTCGGCTTATGCTAGTTTTGTTGAATAAAATCAGCAAGCAATGCAAAAGAAATATGACAACGAGATGCTGCGCTGCCAGAAACTTGTATTATTGTCGGCTAACGTTAGTGAAAGAGTCGTTCGGGGGATTCATTCACAGACGAATCGCTCTCTCCGTCATTATGAGAAGTGAAAGCAGGAGAGGAGCTGTGTTTCAGGACACGGATTAGATTAAAT